ATTCCTGCTTTTTTCTTTTTTAGGTGTTAAAATGGAATCACTGATTACTGGAAATGGAAGGAACCTCCTGAGGTCATGAAGTCCAGTCCCTTACATTCATGGCAGGATCAAGTACCATCAAGAACACCCCGACATGTGTTTGCTTAACATGCTCAAAAATCTCCAGTGCTGGAGATTCCACACCTGTATTCACAGGTGGGTCCTCATGGATGATTAGACATCTAGCAGGTTATGAGATCACAAGAAGATGGAAGCAGTACCACTGAGAGGAGAAGTGATTTTTAGTCCAACTGTCTAGAGGAGAAATAATCAACTAAAAAAAAATTACATGGTAACCCAGTTGCTTGCTACTGCAGATAACCTTCATACCTCATAATCTCTATAAACCCCCCTAAATGGAGACCAAAGGTGATTTTTAAATTATTATATCCAGTGTTTGCCCTATCCGTCTTTGGAAGTATGTAAACTGATGTATCTATTCTTACTTTAATATCCTTAAGCAAAATGTGTGTGCATGGCTGGATTTTTTTTTTAAAAGACACCCTGGAAAAATGTTCCTGAAGGTGTATCAAGTCATACCGTTTGGAGGAGGAAAATACCCTTAGCTCTTTTAGTCCATCTCCATGGTTATCAAAGACTTCCTGAAAATCCAGGACAATACAGAGCCTCAGTCTATGTTCAGTGAAGTCACTGGGTGTTGGATCAGGACTCTAGTGCATCATTGACTAGGCTGCTTTTGATTCATTGGCAAAATAAGCCTTGAAAGCCATGGAATTTTATAAAGGGGGAGTTTAATGAGAATTGTTATAGGAATGAGTTTAGTTTCATCTGGGAAACATGCAGGTTCCTGTTGTAAAAGAAGTGGGTAGCTGGAGCAGTTATGTTAGCTAAGGTCTGGACAGGGGATATTAGTGATTTTTCTGTTCATTTCAGGTTTGATATCTGAAATAGGAAAAACTGAAATTCTTTCTTGGTACTGTCGTCTCTGCTTAGCACTGTCATCCTGATTGTAACAGAAACAAATTGACTCTAGGAATGTATGGTCCATCCCGGATTGATTTTTTTTAAATTGCAAATGAGGCTGTATCTCATGGCCATTAGACTCTTTGCTGATAGCAAGAAGAAAAACTCTCTGCCCCCAAAGGAGTTATACTAAATATTGGGATCCTGATTTCATATTTATTGCTGTCATCCTTTTTCTGTGGAATGTGTTTTTTATGGTGGAGCCTGAGGTAAGGAGTTGAGCGGGGTGGGTCACATTCACAGAACAGGAACAGGAACTACCCTCCTCCAATCAACCTTCTGGCAAACAATGGCAGAGGGAATTAGTGTGACTATATGGAAGCTGAACCTGTGCTAGCTAGGTGTAGTGTGCTTGTGCTTTTGCTATACTGAATGGAATGGTCTAAAACATGGGTTCCCAGAAATTCCAGGGGGGGGGGCGGCACGAGGCAACCCAGCCTCCCTTCCCTCCCCCATCAAGTTTTGCTGCCCCACTCAATTTTTTTTTTTTTTGCTCAACAAGTTTTGCTGTTATTCTGGGAGAGGGGCATGAGGGTTTTTCAAAAATCAAAAAGGGGGGCATGATGCCAAAAAGTTTGGGAACCACTGGTCTGAAAGAATAGGCAGTCTCATAATCTTTAGCACTGAGTGTTCAAAGCACCACTCCACTCAAGCTCATCAGAAGGTGGGTTTTGCCCACAAAAGAAAGCTTTAAGTATCAGAGGGGTAGCCGTGTTAGTCTGAATCAGCAAAAGCGGCGAGGAGTCCTGTGGCATCTTATAGACTAACTGAAGAGTAGGAGCATAAGCTTTTGTGGACAAAGACCCACTTGGTCAGATGCAACTGACGAAGTGGGTCTTTGCCCACGAAAGCTTATGCTCCAACACTTCAGTTAAAAGAAAGCTTATGATACTATATATAATTTTGTTAGTCTCTAAGGGAATGTCTACATAGCAGCATTATTGTGGAATAACTGGTGTTATTCCAAAATAACAAAAAGCACGTCTACACAGCAAGCCATTATTTCAAAATAATGTCAAACTGGAGGATTTCTTATTCTGATGCCTGTAACTCTCATTTCACAAGGAGTAAGGGAAGTCAAAGGAAAAATGTTCTTCCTTCGACTTCCTGCTGTGTAGACAGCGCCAAAAGCTGAATTAAGTTATTTCAATTTAAGCTATGCAATTGACGTAGCTGAAGTTGTGTAGATTAATTCGACTTTTGCCCTGATGTGTATATGTGCCCTATGGTGCCACAGGACTGTTCATTGTTTTCAAAGCACAGGAGCCACATCAATTAACCTTCACACTTCTTATGGGATATAACTGAATTATTATCCCAATTTTGCAGATGGGGAAACCAAGGTTCAGACAAGTGATACAACTTGTTCAAAGCCATCCAAAGCGCCAGTGGCAGAGGCTGGGTGAGAAGAATCCAGGCCCTTTAGATTCCCAAATCTGCTCTGGAATCTGTAAACTAGTTACCTCCCTAAGAACAATTCTGCAGTAAACACCTCCTTCCACCATCCTTTCCTTGGTCACTTCTCTCACTGGACATTTGCCACAGGAGGAAAGCAAAGGGACTTCTCACAGATCCTTCAAGCAGCTGCAAGGCATTCCCTTGTCTCTAAGACCGTGGTCACCAACCGGTCGATTGCAATCGACTGGTCAATCGCGAGGCCTTGACCAGTCGATCGCGAGGTGTTTGGGCAACCCCACTCCCGCATTTTCCCCCCACCCCCGAGAAGCCCCACTACCTACCTCTAGTGTAGTGTTGGTTTCCTGCAAAGTAGATGGAAGTCCTGTCGGAAGCCCGTGTCACTTCCGGGGGTTCCGGAAGTGCACGGGCTGCTCCCCTCCCACAACGCTGTTGTGTGCTGGGGGAGGGGGCGTCAGTCCTGAAGGAGGAGTGTGGAGGCTTCCCTGCACTGCCGGCGCCCGAGGGGTGAGTTGAGCGCAGGGGTTTCCCTGTGCTGCGGGAGCAGGGGTCGGCCCCGGGGTTTGGCCGCACTGTGGGAGTGGCGGCTGGGAGGGGCAGGGCTGCACCGCAGGAGGGGGGTTTGGCCCCGGGGTAGGTGCATGCGGGGGTTGGCCGTACTGCGGGAGGGGTTGGCCGTGCTGAGCTGTGCCGTGCCGTGGGAGGCGGGTTTGACCCTGGGGCAGGCGCCTGCAGGGGTTGGCCGCGCTGCGCCACAGGAAGGGGGTTTGGCCCCAGGGAAGGTGCCCACGGGGGTTGGCCGTGCTGCAGGAAGAGAGGGGAAGGGGGGGATGGGCCGGGCCGCACCATGGAAG